AAGAAATGCCTTCAGCATTGATACAGTTCACTTACAGAACCAGCTGTTTGTTGTGGAATATCAGAAGTACTATTTTGACAGCTCACTCAACTTTCTTATCAGTTGTTAGTGAGTGAGATGTATTGAGGAATGTGCACAGATGTTGCAATATAAGAGCAAGACCAAGCAGATGTGTCCATTTCTGTTTGTGGCAGATAAGGATTCTGAAAATGGCTAGAAGTAGTAAAGCATTCAAGGTAGGGAATTTTGTAAAAACTGATGCTTCTAAGATCAAACCAGACACAACCTTTCTAGAAATTTCAGCAGCAAAGCAGTACATCTCTGTTATCAGCATCCAAATGATAGTCTAATCTGTCAGTGATTCTTAGAGGAAAGTAAAGAAACATACCAAAGAAAAGGAGCTGGGGAGTCCCACAAACAGTAGGTAATTCAATTTGATATAAATTGTGTCAGCTTGCAGGGAGCATCCTTAATTTAGTTGAGAACTGTCCTGAAAACCTTATGAACTGAAATTCAGAAGCTGTGTACTTTAATAAACCAAAAGATGTAAGCAGGACTAGATGTATGGATGCAAATCCATATCCAGCAATCCTTAGAGATTTATGACCAGAGACTGTCAAGTAAGCAGTGTTTAATTAAAAAAAAAAATTGAAATTTAACTAATACTTTGACATTATATGTTCACTTCTACAAGTGCCTTGCTCTAATTTGTTAGAAAAAGTAAATTTTCACTTGAATAATCTTCTGACTTCCAATCTTTTAAGACTTGGACAGATCCTCAACAGGTATAAATCAGCATAGCTCCAATGATGTGAATTAGCATAGCTCTATTAACATCTGCTGAGAATCTGGACCATGATCGTTCGCATATAGGAATTGGAGGTAGATTATTGAATAATAACGCCAAAATAAACCATTCAAGCAATAATTAAAATTTTTCAAACTCCTGTTCCTCCTCTTGTTTCCTACACAGAGACCTTTTCCTGAAAACGGAGGGGAAGAACCCAGTTTTAGTCTTTGATTAGTTAGATTGGTCAAGTGACCAATGCTTTTGCCATTTGTAATGACAAGTATAATTTTAATTGTTAGATTGATCTTTATTTCAGCTAAGTAGCGCATCCTGGAGATGTTCAGTTGGCTAGTTTGCCATTTGGATTCTTGATTAGTTGTGGAATGAAATGTTGTTTCAGATGCTGCCCAAAGATTACTGCTTTCATATTCATGCTCAAATACCAAAAATCTGTGTGGCTTTTCCTGTGTGGATAAGAAACATGTCTTCGGAGTTTTTCAGGTTTGGCTCCACAGTTATGATTTCTTTGATATTTGTGTGCTACAATCATGTTTCAAAAGAAAATGGTAAACTTGATAAATTGAGGGTAAGTGCTCCTTCAACTTACCCTGTTATGTTGAATCCTGCACTGGAACAGTGAAAAAGCTGACCTATTGCAGAGATGATGAGGGTGATCTCTGTAGTCAGTTACTGACTTATGCACCCTTCCCTCACCTGACTGATACACTAACAAAGTATTAATGTTTGTTTTCCCTGTAAAATGCTTATGACTTCCCTGGGTGGTTGCAATGACAAGGGAATGTATCTGAGCCCAGGATGAAACTTATTTTGTAGCTTTAAATGTTGTCACAGGCCTTATATGCTTATTAATCATGAGAATAGACTACAAAAAGAAAAGGTACTCAACATTTGCTGAGAAGAAAAAGTATGAAATAATTGTTAAAAAAATATTTAAGGCTGACCTTCTTACTCTAGAAATCAGTGTCTGAAGAACAACCTAGCTTTATTAATAAATGTTCTTCCTATTCCTTATAAGGAGCCATTTAAAATGGGCTAATTCTGAACAATCAAACAGATTTTATAAGCTCAGTAACCTGTGGGCACTGCTAAATCGATATATGTAGCAGTCACCTAAGTGTAGGCACCATAGGATGTCTATTTGGTTAATTATCTCCCAAATCTTTTCAGAATAATCTTTTTCGTTGTTTGTAGATAGTATATTAAAAATGTACCCTTACAAAAGATACACAAATAGCAAAACCAGGAATTTTCTAGAATAATGAAAATACTTAATTATGTTTGTTTTCTGTCTGCAAAACGATATTTAAAATAGGAATTTGATGTTTACTTGGAATTAAAGTTAAAAATACCCAGTCACAAGTGTCAGAATAGTTATGAAGAAATTTCAACTTAAATATTTGATCCTGATCATAAAAATAAATAGCAACAAAACTTGTTCTAATTCTTTGATCTTGCAAAAGCTTGTTTTTGATTTCTTCAGTGGTTTCTTTGTGTAACATGAGTTGATTAACATTTAATAAATTTAAAGCACAAAGTAATGTATGTGTCACACATATGCATGTTGTATCAGGTTTTATTAAAGCAGAAAAATTACAAAATGTATTATCAAAAACATTCTTCTGGGAAGGAAAAAGTTAAACTGTCTTCCAGCAGTTCAGACACAATTAGGACACTTTAGATTAGCGAGTGCATAATTTTTGCTTATTTTTCACAGGTTAGGAATGAAATGGAATTTAAGGCACATGGCTTTCTATTCAACAGCAGTCCAGAGAGCCCTTCCTACTGGCGTCCCAAATGTAACATTTGGGGGGAATTGTACTGTGACAGATTGTTGGACTGGTTGATCTGATGGTCCATGAGGAGATCTTTAGAGCCCTGCAGATCTGCAGATATTCACTTTATATCCACGGATCACGTTTGCAGATAGCGGATCGGATGCGGATACAATTTTTGTATCCGCGCAGGGCTCTCGAGATCTTTCCCCTCATAAAGTTGGTCTTCAGAATTAAAAAGTTGGAGAGCTTTTGCTATACAGTATATGGCTTGGTATCATTGAGCTACCCTACTGATCCCCCTTGTAAAGGTCTACGCTCAGAACTGTTCCCCTGTTGTTAAGGCTATCAGTGCTATATAATTTATTTGTCAGTGTATAACATTTTAACTGACCTAAGACAAGATGTTGAGTTTGGGCTGAAATTGAGCTTTGATTTCAAAGTTCCACTCAATCAGTTTGTCTTCTTTCACTTCCTTTCTTTTCTTCTTCCTCCTTGGTTTTCATTTCATATACATTAATAAGATAACGGAATAGTAATCTGTACTCCGGCATTCTCACTTTGAATCTCATGCTTTAGGTCCTCTAAGCGAGTAACTGTGTTTCAAATTAGATACAGACTTTGTTTATAGTCCAGAAAGGCTGGAGAGCGTTCTGAATCAATAGTTCTATACAGGAACTTATAGCTTAGCTAGGCACAATTAGGTGTTTAAACCTCATCTGGCACACACGTTGAAGACGCTATTATTTTTGTAGAGCAAAAAAGCAAAATATATTTGATCTAAAAAAATCAAACTAAATGATCTAGTGTTTGTCATAGTATCAAAGGAGAAGCCAAATAGCAAGCAGGTAATGATTATCTTTTGTGTTGCCTGTGACATTTGTCTAGCAAGTATTTAAAAAACAGACCAAACAAACAAACAAAAACAATATTTTAGGTGTTTAACCCTTAAGGGGAGCCACCTTTTCTTTGGAAGACCTACTGTTTAAAAATATTATGTTAGTTTTTAGAATTGACCTTTTTAATTGTTCTTCCTCTTTGCTGCTGCTGCTTGTTACTTTCCATTTGAGAATCCATCCTCATGAGTTACAAGTAGAGAGCCCTGTGTGGATACAAAATTTGTATCTGCATCCGATACATGATCTGCAAACATGGTCTGTGGATATAAAGTGGATATCCGCAGATTTGCAGGGCTCTAGTTACAAGCAACACATTTCCTGCATATAAAGTTTATAATGTTTTGTTCCAAAAAGTCAAAAGTATGACAACCTCTAATACAGATGAATAGAATATTCCGCCACAGGAGGCGAGAGAATACACAAAGCCTAGCACTTTAAAAGAACAATTTAATATAAACAGTATTTATTGTAAATGTATTATTCAGTGTAATGTATAGTTTAGTAACTAACATTCTTAGACTGGAAATATTGATCTACAAAATTTACTTGCTAATATTTAACCATTAAAAAATATATCTTTGCTAATGTAAATTCTGTAAGAATTTCATTTTTTTTAAACGTACCCTTTTATTAGTAAGGCTAAATCCTGCTCACTATACTCAGGTAAAATAGTTTCACTGATTTCAGTAGGTTTACTCATGAAAATGATGAATATGACATGTCCTGAAGTGATTTATCTATTCTTGTTCATCACATTTATAAAATTTATCTTTATTTTCCTACTGTATACTCTGTATGCCTATCCTGTAAGTTAAAAAACACAAAATATAGAAGGACTGCCTGTCAATATAATCACCCCAGCTCAAGTGACTCTGCTGATCTCAGATGTGGAACTGTGTAATATGAGGAAAAGAGATCTATCGTCTCTCACAGAAATAATGGTTTTCTGGCTTAGTACTTGGAAGAATTCTCCAAACATTGCTTTCCATTAGGGTTACTTGATTTTATTGTTCCCACTTTGTTTCCCATTTTATTTGGAAGTGCCAAGATAAAGACATTTTTCTCCTCATAGAAACATCTGATCATAAGGTGTGTGTTTGATGTGACAGCAGCTATCAGTAAAGAAGAGAACACGATATAACTGCAAACATTTGAAGCAGGTGTAACAGAGTAATGGGATAAAAGTGAGATGAATAGCAGGGAAAAAAACTTCACAGTGGGAGGGAGCTGTGAGGTTAGAAAATTGGGGGAAGCTCTATCACTTGAAATGTTCTAAAACTGGAGAAAGTACTACAAAATGTACTTCAGGGAATAATCGTGCACTTCTTGGGACATGGACTTAAGACTTGAGATGTTTTCTTTGTAAAAATATTCTAACACTTTAGATTGGGATTATGTTTCAGTCTAATATTTAGAAGTTATGTTACGTGTATTATGTTGGACTTTGCTTTTTTTAAAGCATTTCTAATAAAAGCAGACATGTTTGCACTAGTAAACGTGACCTTGTTCTCCTCTTAGATTCTAACATTTGAGACTAAGAATCCAACAGAACTAGCTGAGCGTTTGCGTTCTGTATGTGGAAACCAGAGCAACGCCTATGCCCGTCTGCTTGAATACCGTTTAAATGCTTTGCGTGGACTCTGGAATGCCCAGCGCCAGCTAGCCTTGGAAGAACAACACGAACGGGAAAATTCTGGGGATGAAGAAACATTGGCCTTGCTCAAGCGTCAGGGTTTGTTACAGCAACCTGAGCAAGCACCATTTACTTCACGGATGGGACTTCTATTGGTCTTTCCTCTCATTCAGTCTCAAAGTAGAACAGACCCTTCTCTCTGTAACATAACTGCTGAGGTACTATTGAATTGCCTTCGAGATTGCCAGCCTTTGAGTTTGACTAAGGAACCAGCTGACTGTCTTAATGGAATTGAATCTTTGCTCTGCTCCTGGTTGGAGGAAACATCTGCCTCAGGCCAACAGATTCCATATAAACAAAAAGAGAATGCTGCTGCCGCCCTTGTTGCCTTGGCCTGTGCAAGGTAAGAAGAGTCTATATTAGACAGATGTCATGGTTGATGATGGTAGCATGTGTTTGTGCTAAAGAATGGCAGAAATTATAATGTGGTCATGCTGTGGAAAAGCTTTTCATTTTACACTAGCTAGTAGTCTCTTCATATTAAAAATTGGCTGGAAAAGGTGAAACCAATATGCAATATAAATGCTTAGCTCATGTGGAAGAGGAAAGATTTAGGCTAGGACTGACTCTTGTGCATGTGGTTTCCTTTGCTGTGTTGAACCCATCTGTAAGGATGGTTGACACAGGATACGAAACATTCTCTTCATTCTCTTTCTTTTAATAAATGGGGAAACGTTTGTCTGACGTCTCCCTGTGCTCTGTGACCCTGGTCCTGCAGCTTATTTTTCCTCAATGGCTTATACAGAGGTCAATGTACTTCAGTCTGTCATCTGCTGCAGGAGGTCTTTTTCATTCAATTGCCACTTTACATAGAGAAGCCCTCAGAGGAAGTAGATTGTGCTAATTCAGTTTGTCTTGGACAAAAAATGGTGTAGGCTAAGACTTTCAAAATTAACCATTTATTGATTGATTGATTTGTTTGTGTCCTACTTCACTTTAAAGGCTCCTGATTTTTAGAGGACTGGTGTTTAGCACTTTCTGAAAATCATGACCCTCTAATGTACACCAAATCTCTGGAATACTGTTTCCCATTCTGGTGTCTGCAATTCAAAAAGGATGCGATAAATTGGAGAGGTTTCAGAGAAGAGCCACGAGGGTGATTTAAGAGATTGGAAAACGTGTCTGATAGTGATAGACCCCAGAAGCTCAATCTGTTTTGCTTAACCAAGAGAAGGTTTGGGGGTGGGGAGGAAGAGATTTTATTCCAGTCTAGAAGTACCTATATGGGGGAACAAAACTTTGAGAATGGGTTCTTCAGTCTAGCAGACAAAGTTATAACAAGATCAAGTGCTGGGAGTTGAAGCTAGACAAATTCAGACTAGAAATAAAGCACAACTATTTAACAGTTAGTGTTATTAACCATTGGAACACCTTACCAAGGGTTGTGGTGGATTCTACATCAGTGGCAATTTTAAAATCAATATTGAATCTTTTTCTAAAAGATCTGCTGTAGTTGAAACACAAATCAATTCAGGGAATTCCTATGCAGGGTTATACATGAGGTCAGAGTAGATGACCACAGTAGTATCTTCAGGGTTTATAATCTATTAAATGCATTAAGTAAAATGTATGTGACAAATAACATTTGTTTTGTGCACCAGTTGGGGGACAATGGTTGCTATCTGGCATGTCTAAGTTATTATCAAAAGGCATGGATAATGTCTTTGTGAATTTAAATGGTTAAAAGAACCAAAATTAACTAAAGGCATTGAATTGAAAATCATCTTCTTAGCTTGTCTTTTCAAAATTATCTACATAATGCTACCTACAGTGTTATAGTATTTTGAGTTTTGTGTTTATCTACAAAAGCCATGCACTCCTCCATGCATTGGGCACCATTTATAAAGAAAGAAGCCTTTAAAAGAAGACTGCTATTGATAATCCTTTTTCAATCCTGGATGCTTCATTTTCCGAAGGATACAAAAGCAATGGGATGAATATTGTTTTAAAAAACTGATTAAAATTCTTGGGGGGAAATTGAAATTGAGCATTTCAAAGATGGGATGTCAAAGGACTGTCAACCATTAGAGGCTTTTTCCAGGGCGTAGCACTACTAAAGTTTGTACAAAACTAATGTACTGGTAATCTGCTTTCTTAGTTTCTATATGCACCTGCAAGTTAAACATTTTGTAGAAGCTCCTAAGGAGCCCCTTCAGTTGGGAAAGAACCCATTATAAGAAACATTTTGGTGGTGGCCTAAACAATTAAGAGATTTCTACCGGTCAACTTCTCTGACAAACACTTGCAAATGTATACCCCAAGTTCTATTTCTTAGGCTTGGGATTTTTAAATTCCTTTTAAGGATAATCAATTGCGCAAAGCACTTGACTATCCCTTTGAAGCCTTCATTTGCAACACTTATAAACCAAATATAGTCCTTCAAGCTGCATAGATGTCATTATTTTTCTGAAATGATGAATAAAAAGAATCGAAGATGCTCTAAAGGTGATTCCCAGTTGCCCTCCCTTGTATATTGTTTATGGAGCTGCCTGTGGCAGCTCATGCCCAAAATAAGAAGTGGGTTCAGGGCTGGCAGTTAGATAACATCCTTCCCTCTGCCCCCTCTTTGTTTGTGTTACCCCAGAGTTGGGTGGAAATAATCCAGAAGAAGGATGCAAACAGGAAAAGATGTTGGCTCGTTGAGAGAGAAAACATCCTTGAGGTTTTACAAAAAGTTGTCATTGGACATTGTCTTAAATATATGTTGTCCTTTGTTGCCTTGCATACAAATTAGTGTATTTTCCATGAACAAAGACTTCTAACTCTTATTTTAATTATTTTCCTAGGGGATCACTGAAAACTTTTGTTCACACAGTACATCTATTACAGAAACAGACAGACCTGGGATCCCTGCCTGTGGCTGATGTATTATACAGGTGGGTAATAACTTTTCTAATTGTAGTTCTTTTGCATCAACCTTGAAAATGTGTAAATATCAAAGATAAAAGATTAGTCGCAAAATGTGATCCACTGACCAATCCAAGACTTTATAGTTACTAAAATGAAAATTTGGAAGCCCTAGGAAAAATCCGGTTAATTGAGGAAGGATAATGATAAAAGGCTAATTCTCAATATGTGTTAATTTAAAAAAAATTAAATTCCTAAAGTTCCCTTAAAATGGCTTAATTATGAACTGTAACATAGAGATAAAAAATTTCCCATTTGAAAAATATCTTTAATCTTAATTTTCAAGCTGGTTAATTGTTGCTTTTATCATTACTCTGAAAACATTTTCTTTATGTATCTTACTCTGTACTCTTTTTGGTTTAAAGGTTGCTGCTTCTGGAAGGTGGGCCTGGATCTCCCTCCTGTTTGCTTGGGGGAAAACACATGGTATCTTGGGGATTTGAAGATATGTTACCTGCACCTGATGCCAACAGTGGCTCCAGCTCTGAAAACAAAGGGGAAGAGTTTGTTTTATGACTATACTCAAATCACTGAAGAGGATCAGATTTTTTTTGCATTGATTGTACAGAGTATTTTTTCCCCCTGTATCTAAAGCTTTAGAATTTGAGACGTTCTTTTTCTTTTTGTTGGAAAGAGTATAAAAGCAGTCATGAGGCATAACAAAGAGCACACATGGGGCCATGTTTTTCAGAAGATAGCGTACTTGGGCATCTGTAGGAACATGCAGGCACTTGTTATATCTGCAAAACCCCACATTTGCGCAAGAAGATGGCTATGTAGGGACCCAGTTTTTCAACTTGCACATTCAAAAACAGACTAATGGGCATGGACTTAATTTTACAGGCAGCTTGTTATTACTGGGTCATCTTTGTACTAGTACACAATCTTTGTAGTACACAATTGTGTAAACTTGATGGAGATGGGTACATGAGTGAATAGAGCTTCCTTTGGTTGCGTTCTTTTTTTTTTTTTTTGTGAGTAGGGGATTGACTGGAAGAAACGAGTCCACTTGTATTAAAATTAATAAAGTTTTAGCTGGCTAAAGGAAAGTTTTAAATCTCCATATTGATGTAGTACAATGGATTGTATCACTTGCTATTGGCTTCAATGCATGGGTACAACTCAGTTTACTGGTAAGGACTGAATGTCATTTTTATCATGGCTAGTGATCTGGGGTGTACGTTGGATTCTATCAAGCAATATGCATAGGAGAACTCGTTGATTTCAATGGGAGTTTTGCACAAAGATTAAATTGAGAATAGCTTTTATAATGAAACTTTTGTTTTTTTGTCTAATGCATTATTGTCACGTTAAGCACCCATTAGTGGGAAAGTGCTTAACTTTAGGACTGCCAGTGTTTCTGTCCTTTCTCTTCCTTACCCATCCTCCTCTGCTCTGACTTATCTCTTTCTGTGCCTCACCTGTTCTTCGCTCTGTATTTCCCTGCCTGCAGCAATTCCCAATTCTCACCACTTCCCTAATTCTATTGCTACAAAGGTAAGCAATGAAATAGTTATTGTTGGTGTTGAAGTGTCATCAGACTTGAGTTGACATCTCAGTGAGATCACTGGAGATGAAAGGAATTCACACCTCTGAGTCATTGTGTCAGCTTGCCTACAGACTCAGGAAGACAAATGTATTGGTTTACACTCTATGCATATTTGGAAGCTTATGTTTGCAACCATGAGAGCTAGGAAGTTACTTGTTCTGAAAAAAAATGAAAGCTTAGATTCTGTGATCTGAGTATGTAATGTGAACTACCAAAATACCTTAAGTGGGCTGGTTATTTGACATTCCTGCATTAATATTATATCTTGGGTGCCATACATATATCATTGCAGCCAGATTTTTCCATTCTCCCCCCACCCTCCATCTTTTTTTGCTTGCTTGTTAGTTTTCTACTTCTGATGTACATGAGTTACAAGATTTGGTAGAGATCTCATCCTCCTTGATCAAAGATCTTTCTCTCAACTAACAAAGATCTGAGAAACAAACGGCTAGATGTACGAGCAATGCTGAGATCCACCAGCATTTACTGGCACCAACAATTATATCTTCAATGCACTGGGTTAGATTTTTTTTCACACAGTTACACACAATATGTTAAGGTTACAGTGGTGGTCTTGAGCAGAAAAGCTTGCCATATTCATAAACCTTGGGTGTTATCTCCCCTTCCAGTATGCTGATGTGTGAGCAACCTCTTCTTGATGCCCTAGGAACAAGAGTTAAATCCTTCTATTCTTTTCAAGCAAAACAAAAGAAAATGGTCTTCTGTTCCATTACAACCTTTTGAAAGTATTTAATTGAAAATTATGTTTAAAATGTATTGTACGGAATAATTTTAGATTCTGGTAGTGAAGGTAAAGCATTTTCATCTGAAATGAGTCCTGTTGATCATGTCCTATTAAATGCAGCATTCTAACTTGCACCATAGTCCGACTTGAATAGTGTGCAGCCAAAAATGATCAGGGGCTCTCTGATTAGGTCCTGAACTCTGAATCAGAACATATGAGGAATTTAAGATTAGAACTTAAACTCTGAGCCATATTGCATAACAGATAAGAAAGCAATACAGAAATAGAGAACTTCTCAAATGTATATCATCCATATCTGAGAAAACAGTTTGTTACCTGATGCCATTTTGCATATTTAAATGAGCAGCTGGGTGCATGTTACACTGTTCTCATTCAAGTTGCTTGGAAGTACTTCACATTTTTTGTGTAATTTATTTCATATTTTAATATATGTACATTAGCAATGTGGGTAAATTGTAAATATACAGTTCTGCATAACTGGATACAGGAATGGTAGAGTGCCTACTAAAATGGGGCATTGGTCCTTGATTGGTCATCATAGAAGTGACTGTAATACAAATAGTAATTTATATATAAATATAAACTTCTGACCAGAGAAGAAGAGGAGCTCTCATTGGTTTTCAGTCACTGTCCTAACAGCAGCAGCGACATGATCATTGTAGCTTTGCTGTTCATAAAAGGTCTCCACTCAATGCTTCCTTCCTATTTCAGATGCAGACTTAGGGCGCTGTCTTGCAGCAGATGGACTTTATCTTTATACAACTAATTCAGTAGGCAGAGGAATAAGCAAATTAGGATCTGGATTACACGGTACTTTACGGTAAGCCACAGTATTGTGATATTTCTGCCTTTGCAGATCTATTATCCTATCTAGATAAATCTTTGTTGTCAGAGGACCTGATATGTATATGAAGCATCTAATATTTTTTTCACTAAATCATTTTTCAGTGATTCAGATTTAGTGATTTGATTTCCCCCCTTCTTATATTGAAAATTACTGCCATTAAATATCTTCCTCGTCTAACATGACCCATATTTTGAGATGTTTTCCTTTATAGACTATTGTAGGCATAAATTTATTCTTCCCTGGGAGCAGTTGATAATGGCAAGTGGGACAGCCTCTGTACCTAGGGAACGAGACTGTCACTGAGGGACACCGGGAAGCTTCCCCCCACATTGGAATCTCTGATATTCATTGGCCAGATGGAGCAAGGGGAGCTGATTGACCAGCATTCGCCAGCTCCCAGGATTTAACCTGAGTCAGGGGCCATGTGGAGCTCTTTTGACTCTGTTCCACTCTGAGCTAGGCATGGGAATCTGGCCTGACTCGTACGGCGAGACTAGCCAGTCATCCGTTTGGGGGGTCAGGAAGGAATTTTTTCTCCCATGAGCCAATTGGCAGAGGACCAAGGAATTTTTCACCTTTCCTCACAGCACCTTTAAGCCACAGTAGGCTGAGTAAGAATACTCAGTGCCTAAATGAGGTACTTGGTTGAGTTATGAATTCATTGCAACTTACGGCCCTTCTCCAGTGCAGTTGAAAGGATAAAATTAATGGTTCCCAGAGGTAAAAAACCTGGTATTTTGTT